TATATATAGACTGCATTTTACAGAAATATATTTTTGATATATTATCAATAGAATATAATTTTTAGGACTAAAAATAATAATCCTAAAAAGTACATTTAGTACATTTAAAGTGTACTAAGTATATTTAAAGTTGTTCCATTTTAGTATTTAAAAGTATACTTAATACACTTAAAATTGTGCTTTTGTACAACTTAAATACAACTAAAAATATTTAGTATTAAATTAGTTGTTCCTAGATGATTAGTGTGGCTTCAAGTATTCTAAAGTATACTTAGATTTAGTATACTCAGTATAATATTTGTAAAATATTCTTATTTAAGCTTCTGTGTAAGAATCAACTAATTCAAARAAAGAGGAGCCTTTAAGCACACGTACATACAAAGCCATGATAGAATTACACATTCCTCTTTTGTTCGTTTAATGTCTATGCTCATGTAGACAGATGGATAAGTTAACTGCTTCAGAAACTGATCAATAGAGGACTTTTTATTCCAACTTGGCTCATTTTAACCTGCGCTGACAGAGTTAATTAGGGGACTGAAAAACCCAATTAAGGGGATTGAGGAGCCGGACAAGGGAGACATATTGGAGGACATACGCACACATTGTGGAGCGTCTGGAGAAAGGGGAACTTCAATTAAGAGAGGACCCACTTCCAGAGGCTTGTTGCCTGTTCCTATTCATTTTGTGCTCGATAAAGGACCCCCCCAATCCTCTCAGAATACTGATGAGGAGAGAGCACAGCTGCTTGGGGTCAACACACATTTCCAATATGCTGAGCACATTTGCTCACATGCACGTCCACAGATGTACACGGAGGAGGAGGAGACTAATGACTGGATTCAGGCTGGGATGGCTAAACGCTGGTTAGTCGACAGAATGACTCAAGAAGAAAAGCTTTGGTTTTTGAACATTTATTTAGTTGAAATGCAGGCTATTGGTTAAACTGGTTATGATTAAATAAAACTCTTTGTATATATTTGAGATGTTCAACTTCTAGAATCTTTATWATCCCCAAGGGGCAATTTGTTGCACAGCCAGTAGACATAAAAACAGTCATGCACAAATACAYAAAAATCACAAATGTTCATAAATAAATTGAACTGCTGCTGGGATGAATGAGTTTTTAAATCTATTTGTYAACATCATTAGAACATTTGAGATTGTCCTTTCTCTTTGATGAGGTGCAACCATTTCAAAAGCTGCACTAATTCAGACTTTGTGTGAATATGCCCAAATATTCTGATCTTTTTAAGATTTGCCACATGTACTTCACCCTGTACTTTGTTGCTTGTAATATAACGTTTGCACTAATTGAGTGTGTGCTGATTTGAACATTAGTTGCTTGTTGTGTGTCTACAATATATATTTCATATGTAAGTGATTGTGGATTACTTTACAGTCAAATGTGAGCATTGATAATCAGTTTTTTCTTGTGTTGAATTATTTTTTTGATAAAGCATGTGCTGTAGTTAGTTTTTAACCATAGTTCTGTGCTGTTTTTGCTCATAACACTTTTCCTCAAACTGACTGCATGAAAACACTCAAAATATTATGTTATGTTTTTATTTTCTTGTTTGTTTTCTACTGCATATGTACAGAGCCTGTCCGGTGACATTGAATAAAATATAAATTATCCAATGGCCACGTGATAATAATGTATGGCCATGCAATAATTATGTTGTGACCATGTAATGCTACGATATATACAATACAGTCATTTCCATGCAGAGTTTATTGTTTACATGGACAAGTCTGATTTAATTTCCTTTTATTTTAACATTGAGGTGAATGACATACAGTATCAGTCACTTGCGGTTAGGCATGGAGTAATTCTTAGCATTATAGGCTACTGTATATTGCAGTTATAAGAGACAGGTGACGACTGGAGTTGTATTTGTCCAAAAAGCTTTCTTTTCTTTTCTTTGAAGCTCAACACTAAAAACAGGCTCCTCTCTCACACTTCACAAGGAGTTGGAGTTTCATTCAGGAATACAGTAAAAAAAATCTGTTTCCCTACACACAGTTATAATAATAATAATAATAATAATAATAATAATAATAATAATAATAATAATAATATAATACTTATAAGTGTGGGTATAGGCTACCATTCAACAGTTCAAAAGTAATTGAATAAATACAGTAGAAAGTCTGACTCCAACAATGTCTGTATCATGCTGGACACACAGCTCAAAATTATCTTATGGCCACAAGATAAACATTTTTTTTCATCCAGTGTCACCTGGTGGGCACCGTAGATTTGTAATTAGGCCTATATGTTCATTTTAAATTCTGTCATTTAATTTGCGTATTTATAACTATTTATTAGAGGAACAATTTGCCACATTGTAGTTGTTTCATAAAATTATCATATTTGAAATAAGTAATAAATTGTTTTAAGATAAATTGTTTTAATTTTTGTGTGTTGAGAAAAAACTAGAACAAAATCATTACATAATAAAACTTCTTCTTGAAATAGATATTTTTATAAGGAAACTTTACCTCAAAAGGTTTTTGTTTTAACAGAACGGAATTTGAAGATAAAAGAAATGCAGTTAAATAGACTTCCGTGTGACCCTCCTGTCCACTTGGTGGCGATGTTTCACAGAAGTGTCTCTATCCAACAGCCGCCATTAAACAAAAAGAAGAAGAAAACCAGCTAACTAAATACTGATGATGTCATCGTGTGAAGATGGCTGAAGGGTGAGAGGGGAATTTACTTTTTGTTTTTATTTATATAAACCCAACAAATAGCACCGTTTTGCAACACGTCATGTGCTCTTTAATATCTTGTGTGTCCACTGAGAGTTTGTGTGACTATTTCGCTGTTACCGTTGCGCTCTGCAGCTTTTCGGGACGAGTTCAGGAAGTGCATTTGTTTACAAAAACATAGCGTTGATTGCATTATATTAGCTCGGTTAGCTTTGTTGTAAGCACCTCAAAGCGCTAAGTAAAAAAATACAAGTCCGTATAATTGTATGGTTTGCACCTTAGCCTTTTTTCTGTCGCATTAATGACTTTATTTTCGATCACCGGTCCTGTTTTTCTGCCAGCTGTGACGCTAGCTAAGACGTTATCTCTCTCGGCTGTGTGATAGCAGAAACATGTCAGCAGTTAAAAGTCCGTGGGGCTAAAGTCGGACACAGTTTAGGTGGTGAGTTTGTACTAATATCGACTATTTTTTAATTATGTGTTGAAAACAGAGAAGCGTGGTGGGGAGGCTGGCTTCAGCAGAGTTTCCAGGCCGTCAAAGACAAGGTAAAGACATGTAAACCCGAAAAAAGGTGCTGTTTGTTWAAGCCGTTGTCCTGGTGTGTATGTTTGCTGTTTAAGCCTAATTAAGCCTGTTTAAGCCACAGACTGGTTGCTCTGCATTTTTTAGGTGACTGGCAAAAATAAAAGGTAGACATCTGAACTTTACAACCACTTTKATACACCACAGTAATACAAATAAAACAATAGTCTACTCATTAGTTATTTTTTTTATTCTGAACATGGTAGAAACGGAGACAAAACAAACAATCAAATCAATAAAATATAAATTGCACATTATTTACAATTTAAAAAGTAGTGATTTTTATATTTACTGTAACTTCTACTTTATTCTTGACCTTAATAATCAACAGTATTTCACATATTGCCCCACACCTAATTTAATTTGCTATTAAATATTCATTCATTCRTTTCAGGTATAGAAAGTGTTAACATGGATATATATTTTTTAAATAATAATGATCATTTTATGCTATTCTGACAAGACTGTTATATTTAAATATTTTGAATACAGACTGATCGTTGCGCCATTTACAGGGYAATAATGCTGCTGTTCTTTTTCAGCTTGCAACTAATTATTACTAAAACATAACTTTATTTGCTGCTTGACTTTGTTAAAGCAACAACATTTGGTCCTTTGAGCATATTTCATGTAATCTTTTTCAATGCTTTATGAAACAATCTGCTTCAAAGGTACAGTTATATTATAGGTATTCACAGCACAGCTAATTTGATGATAATAGAGTCTGTCTGGTTCCCTAAAAGAGCTGCTAGCCGACAAATTAATCCACACCTACTGTGCAAACTTGCCCGTTCATGTGACTRCAGCTGTTTTCGTTTGAAACAAGATCCTTGTTGCAATAATAAAGACAATGTCTTACATTTATTTATTTGTGTGTGTGTTTTTTTTCTACCCTGCAGTCATCTGAGGCCTTAGAATTCCTAAAGCGGGATCTGACCGAGTTCTCCACTGTAGTGCAGCATGACACAGCCTGCTCAATTGTTGCTACAGCCAATGCTGTCAAGAACAAACTTGCTGTAAGTCTTAAAGCTTTCTTTTATGAATATCTTCCACTAAAACTCCCAACAGCAAATCAACTTCATTCCCATTCTGTCCATGTTTGTTCTCATTTCCAGGTGGAAGGGTCGTCAGAGACGACAGAAAAAGTGAAAAAGAGTCTGTCTAGTTTTCTCGGTGTGATAACGGACACTCTTGCGCCACCGCCTGATAAAACAATAGATTGTGACGTAATCACGTTGGTGGCGACACCAGCAGGGACCACAGAGGTGTACGACAGTTCGAAGGTGGGTACAAAAAGACCAAAATAWAAATTATAGAGAAAAAAATGTTTGACYRAATGGTGAGATTTCAAACAAATAGAATCATTTAAATGGCATGTWTGCAAAGATTMAACAAAGGTGTGGATAGTTTGAAAMTGTTTGTTGCTTTTGTTTGCACACCATGTCATCAAAACTCATAAACTCTGTCTTTTTGTTTTTCTTTAATGCATCCATATTTATGCAATACCTTGTAGAGTCATTTTTAAAGTGAAGCACAATGGGCAAGTCACAAAACTGGTTACATTTTTTTTTTCATGGCGAATTGACAGACCTTTTTCTGTTTCGTGTACTGTAACACTAAAACCTGAAGGATGTGTGGCGACTACACCAGAAATCAGTCGTGTCTGTTATGATACGGCTTTACCCTGTTTGGCAGATTAATGTGCATAAATACCACTTTAATTTGGTTTATTTGTTTATTTTAAGCATGCGATCCTTTTCCCCTGAGTTAATCTCTCACATGGCAGYCGTAACTCATCTAGTTTTCTTTTCTGGCAGCTTGTTCTCCCTACACAGGGACACACAGAACACTGTAGTTTTTTTTCTTTTCAGCTGGGTGGCTGTAAAAACTAGTTATTGTGCTGTTACTGTAAAGAAAAAGCGCCCTTGGGGAACACATTGTTTCATTTTATTCTTTACCAGTATTTCTCTTTTCATTGTTTTGGCAGTAAGGCTTGATAGAGCTCTCAGTTATATGGTTCAATAAAACATAAAGCTATAAAAAAAGGGAAGTCTTTGAAAATCTTGCTTCAGCAGGTATTTCTCTGTGATCTGCCACTAATCTGACTGCATTTCTGTTTCTGTGCAAACCTCCGGATCAAACCAGTGATGACTGGTTGTAGTGTCCTTGTGCTGGCTTTGAAATGCATTTATTGCATTTTTAATGCAAATATTCAACAATGTGTTTGTTCAGGGACATATCTGGCTTTAATTTGCTCCATGTTGGATGAAGAATTGGAAGTCATCCCATCATGTGTAAATGAAAATTAGACAATAACCCAGTCTTTGTCCTGCAGGCGCGTCTCTACAGTTTGCAAGCTGACCCTGCTACCTACTGCAACGAGCCTGATGGTGAGATTAAACACGAGGAAATTCTTTTCTTTCCAGGCCTGAAGCATTTTCTTAAAGATGCTAAATTTGATTTGTTCATGTGTGTTTGGTTTTCTTATAACGTGCTTTGCTTCTCTGGTTGCTTCATTTTCTGAGGAGTAGAGTTGAGCGATGTTGGGAAAACTTTATTCAAAATTACTTGTGTTATTTAATAATGATTTAATATGACGATTAATTCCCTGGAGTCCCTGGATGCCAGCACGTCCTAGTCGCATGACCTGTTTAAAWCACTCTACTGGGAAAGATACGCACTCTCTGAAACTCTGTTTCAATTTGCCTCAAAAGTACAGACTTCAAGCTATATACAAGTTTTTAAATTGTGTTGATAGAGTAAGTAAAACCAGAGTCATGATAAATAATTTACAGCACTTTTTTTGCTTAATGTTCATATTTGAAGTACTTTGCAGTGGGAAGCAGCGAAAGATGGACAGACTCATGAAAAAAACCCCACTGAAATCCACTTTCCCGTCTCACCCCAACGCTGCCAAACAAACATTAAACCCTCAAACTCCTTTCTGACTGATGCCTGAAATTATATGACAAGCGGCAGAAAATCTGCAGGAAGAAGAAAATAAAAAGACGCAAAAGTTGAATGAAGTTTGGCTGTGATAGAGACACCACGAGAGGGAGTAATTAGATTTGAAAAATTAATGATATACAGTAGAGCTGCACAATATATCAAACATTTATCGTCATTGTGATAACAGCCTGTGCAATATGCCTGTCGCAAAAATCTGCATAAACCACAATAAATGGCTCAAAAATTTGCTTTTATGCGTTATGTCACTAAGACAGAAGCTTGAAGTATTTCACCAATCAAATTGAGCTCTTCACGTATTTGGCCAATTGGATGGATCTCTTCATATTTTTTAAAAATTCATGCTGGAATGGAAATGATTAGTATTTTTTTTTTATCTGAACCCGCATCAGAAAGATATCAACCCTACATACTTACATTTCTTCATTTATCACAAGTCATATCATCATAGCATGTTTTCCTAATATCGTGCAGCCCTATTATGTAGCGTGTTTGGGTTTTTTAGTTAGAGTGTAGTTCAGTCAGTTTTATTGTCTTTAAGTCAAAACAATGAGGTGATTTGAACGGGGAGCGCCAGGTGATTGAGGTGGAGCATGAGAAGATTTTGCCCAACCCTACTAACAAGAAAGCTGAAGAATCAGCAACATGTTTATTTAAATTGTTGTGCTTCATAGGTCCTCCTGAGCAGTTTGACGCCTGGCTCTCCACTTTCAGCCTGGAGGATAAGAAAGGAGACATCTCAGAGCTCCTGGTCAACAGCCCCTCTATACGAGCGCTTTACACCAAAATGGTATCACCTGTTGTTTCTCGCACTCTTCCTTTTTGTTTTTATCCTTCAGATTAGACGATTTTCTCTTTTCTGCAGGTGCCAGCTGCTGTTTCCCATTCAGAATTCTGGCAGAGGTATTTCTACAAAGTCTTCCAGCTGGATCAGGTACAGTTGTTGGCTTATTCTGAAGTGCAGAAGCTTTTGAGCCATTTGTCTGTTAATCTAGAAATTTTGTCTTGAGTGCCACCTGCTGGTCAGCTTTTGACTCACCCATGAGTTTTAATTCACAAATGTGATCACAATTCAACTTCTACCTGCCTAAAGTGTATAGTTATAACCTAACATCATTGTTTTCTTTCCTAAATCAGAAATGTTGGCATAATGTGTTTGATAGTTTTGATTCTGTAAGTGGGAGAAAAATTTAATGGGGCAATATTATGTGTTTCCCAGGCATATATTTAAATTCTATACAATAATAAAGTAACAATGTCACCTTTTAGTTGTTATTAAAATTATGTTTTTATGTTTAAATCAAAAATAAATTTGACTTATCATTTCTGTTTCTAAACACCTTGAAATTGGCCTCTGTCTCTTTAAGAACCTCCTTCTGATCTCATCACGGCCATTTCAGCACGTCATCACAGCYGCTTCTCTGCTGTTTACAAACTGGAGYGCCACAGCATGCTTTGTTGTAATGATAATTTAAAAAGCAGCAACATTATACAAGATCGGTTTTGGAAAATTGCATCTCAGGATACATATGAACCATAATGTCGAACTGGAAAATACGTCTTTGGTCGTTTTTGCTCCCCTGCCTGGCTGCCTCAGGACACTACAAGATTTCTCAAACATGCATGAATGAGTCAAAGCAASAGTCTGGGCATATTTTTGATGAGAGGATTATTATTTTTATTTTAGTGTTTGGTCTAGGTTTGTTTATTTGTTGCACTGATAGGCGTGTGTTTTTATAAAAATAATACCCAAAATGAGAATTCTCACATATTTAAGGGAGCAAAATGCCAGTTTTTCTGTGATGTGTGTAGGAGGAGGCGAGGAGAGTGGCTCTGAAGCAGAGGGCGGAGCAGAGTGCACACACTGAGACCCTGGGCTGGGAGGAGGAAGAGGAAGGTATGCTAGCAGCTGTTTTCATTCAGTCGGATTCACTGAGAGGCTTGTCATTTCGTCATCGCTCTGCTGTTTCTTCTGTCACTTTCAGATGACTTCCTTGGCGCCGTGTCATCGCCTCAGCTCAACATCACGCCCCGTTCAGGTGTCGGTTCAGCCCGCCCCTCCACTTCTCCTGCAGAGGCGACTCTGCTGAGCCCCGTCCTCTCCCCGTCAGAGGAGCGCGACAACACCCTCTCTGTCAGCAGCGACACTGTCAGCCTGCCAACGCAGGTGGAGCTGCAGCCTCTGCCCGCCGCCGCCGAGCTCACCGAGAAACTAACCGAAGCCACCTTGGAGGACGTCGCTGACAAGAACCGAGACAAGCAGAGTCCCAAAACGAGTGACTTCCTTCACGCGGATAAAGTGGAACCTGTAACGCAGCGGGAGGCCGTTCCGCACGGAGCGTCTGCGCAGATCCCTGCCTCTAAACATCCTGGGAACTCAAAAGAAGAGGGGCCGCAAGACTTGAGAGTGTTTGAGCTCAACTCTGACAGCGGGAAGTCCACGCCCTCTAACAATGGCAAGAAAGGTACATTATCTTACCGTTGAGCAAGAAACTAAAACAGGATTAGAACTCAGCGAAAGAAAATCYAGCTGATTGTGTTTCCTTCCTCCAGGGTCCAGCACCGACGTTAGCGAAGACTGGGAGAAAGATTTCGATCTTGATATGACAGAAGAAGAAGTTCAACTCGCTCTTTCTAAAATAGATGATTCTGCAGAGGTGTGTATTTATTAAAATTAAATATTATTTCTGTGAAGTTGATCTTTTCTTTACTGACTCTTTCCTGTTTTTTCAGCTTGAGGAAGACTGGGAGAACTGGGAGTGAGAGCCTCACAAACTGACTGTCTCACTTTAAAATGCTAGTTCACGGCAGATGACCCATGCTTCTCGTGTTTTAACTCTTTGTCCACTCATGTCATGATTGTCAGTAGCAGATTTTCTGGCTGATTTGGACCTTTATAAAACTGTTGAAAAAAAAATCAACGAGAAGACCAAGGCAATAAGAATTCTACTGCTTTGTCAGCCGTCAGATTAGTGCAGATAAACCTCTGGAGATGGTGATAACTCAGGTCTGAGCGACCCCTCTCTTAGAGTCTTTATGACACTAGCGTATGACTCGTYGCAATCGTTCTGACCTTAAAGTTGAAGGACATGAAAGTCAGAATGTTAAAATGTCAGCAGCTGCAGGTGGAGCTTTTTTTTTTTTCATTAAATCCATGATAAGTCGCGAGTCTGTTTGAGGTTGATGTTTTATTTGTGGGCTGCAAAATGGCCATAAACTGTAATGCTGCTTGTCACCTTTCGAAGATGGAAGTCGTTTTTGAATGATGATCAACTTGTGTCATTCTCTTCTTCTTTTTACATTTTTCATCTTTATTATGCAAGTGAATCCTCAAAATGGAGAGAAAAAAAGAAGTATAATTTGGCCTTCACGGTGCACTTTTCATTTTTGGATTCCTCTTAAATCTAATGTAAGGCCTTGTTAAAAACACACACGGCAGTGTGGCAGTGTTATCCAAAGGCTTTAGTTCCCCGTTTTGTCTTACAAGTTTCCATAGAAAGGCTTGTTGCTTGTTGGACTCTGTTAGTTATTGTCACTTTTAAATGTGTCACGATTGTAAAATTTAGGTAGAGGGAACTTTATCACCTGTCTTTAAGTGATCATGTTTAACTTGAAGCGAGTTTCAAATGGTATTTGATTTTATTAGCTTAAATTTGAGGATAGTATCTCTCTTTTTTTTTTCCTTGAGAGAAACGACAAAGGTGTGCATTTTTAGGTTTCTCTGTTGGTTAGAATAGCTCAGCAGACTGTGTGCCAATTAGATCAAGAAGCAATCTGAACACGCTACGTTTTGCTATGTTTTGCTTTTGTCTCTCTCCTCCCCTATCTGTACCGTATCTGAGAAACCTAGAGGTGTAATATTTATACTAAAATAAATGCTTAATTATTGTGATTTTGTGCTTTTGATTGCATGTCTGTGCAATAACATTATGCAAAACATTGTGCAAATGGGTACTGTTGAGTTGTATGTTTTGTTGTTTTTTTTTTGGCTGATCTTCATGTGCTTGTGTTCAGAAGATGTGTTGCATGTCTAATATTTTCGGCTTTGTATTTCACTCGGTTTCACACGTTGAGCTAATCGAAGCTGTTCTGCACACATCTGTTTCCGGAGCTGTCAGGTTCTTTTATTATTTTTTTTATGTCAAGTATTTCACGATATTTCTCGAATGATCATGAGCATTAAAACTATCATGGCAAATAGGGTTTGAGTCTTGCATTTTAGAGCAATACGGGGATGGCAGTTTTAACAGCTAAAGAAACAAAATTTATGTTTTTTGATAATTAGGTATTTGCAAATAACTTGAGAATGCTTTGCAAAAAAAGTTGTTCAAAAGAACTGTTAAAAAGGAAGCATTTTTGCACAAGAGATCAGTTCAACACTTCAAAAAAATTGCCACTTTGTTTCGTAGCTTCAATAATATCTGTGTGCTAAACAATAGAGCTGTCTSAAGATRTACTGATTGGTGGGCCTGATGGATAGAGCTTCATCAGAGCTAAACAACAAAAGAAATCTGAAGCTCCTATGTTGAACAGTTTCTGAGTTATAAGCATTTTTGCATCTTCGGACAACCCCTCTTTGAAAGGAGCCCCCTCCTCAAATATGGGGTCTATCGTAAAACCATTGGCTGGCGCAGTGTAGATCAGACTCATCTACAGTCCTGTCAAATTTCATTTTGATTGGTGCAGTCATTTTTGTGCTACAGTTGACCATAAATCACAGGAAAAAAAGTGACATGTTGAAGAATGTTCATGGGTTTACTGGGTTATTTTGGTGCTTTAGAATGAGCTTTTGCTAAAACTTTCAGTGCATTAGTGCTTTAGAATTAGGGGACCTAAATATTTGAGTTAGTGTTTTTAGTCTAGTGCTGCCCACCACTGGTAGTTGATTTCAAGTTGTTGTTTATCGAGAGGCGATAGCTTGTTGATGGATAAGAATGACGCAATAYTTRATTCCACCACCAGACRGYGCTGTTGCTCTATTTATTGCTCCGCAGTTTTAACCTGCCACTCCTTTCCGCTGCAGCATCCATCTCACAGAGCTCAATAAGCCCCATGTTTCTCTCACAGAGCAATGTTTTTTTCATTAATCTTATTTTTTTATTATTTATATGTACTTTCTCTACCAAAAAGTAATATTTTTAAGTACTTCCCCTCACTGGTTGGACTAAAGCGAGAGTGAAACATGCATGGGGGGATGTTTTTGGTGGCATCACACCAGTGAATGTAGGTCACAGTGGAGGGACACCTGTGCAGCGTGCTGCCACTGCAACATGGATGCTGCTCGTAAAGATGGCTACTGTCTGGGTTTTCTCTTTTTTTCCCCCCCACACAATAGAATATGGTGGGTGTGGTTTTTCTTGAGGAAAGGGTGTGCTGCTGATGTGTGAGCGCATGAGAAAACACAAGGAGATTCAGGCTCATCAACCTTTTGTCAGCGTCATGACTCATAAACACAGCAGATTTGTCTTTGAAAAGCTCAAATATTAAAGGTTTAGTCTGGTCATTTTTGAAATGATAATTTGTTAAACAGCCGTCAGTGGTCATAAAACATAATTTGTTGTTGTTTTCTTCACTGACAGGCCTACACAAAAAGGAGTGGGTTATACTGGGAATGTTATTGATCCAATACCAAGTAGGGTTAGCATCACTGATACCAATACTTGTCATAATCATGAGATTTTGCCTTTAGTTAATCAAATATGATGTAAAAAACAAAGATTTTAGGCAAATAAGAATGTTTTATACTACAACAAAATAAAACTATGTAAAAGATCTTTATATAATTCCTTAATTACCGTCTACTACACACAATTTAAGGAAAAAAATCAYTAGTGTATGGGGCTAATGACTAACTCCAAATGATTTTGAGACTATTGACTGTATTTGTGGAAAAATAAAGCAAGTAGTACAAATAAAACGCAAACAAAAGAATCAATCTCATCACGCTAGCATTGATCCGATCCAAAACTCATCTTGGTATCGATAGTATTTACACTTGGATCGATACGCCCACCCCTGCTACACAAATGCTCTTTCTAGAAATTTCAAGAAATTGGCAACAAACTCATCAAGTGATGTCATATGAAAGTGCAGATGTTTCGCTAAYGTAGTTTTTATTTCTCACAACAGTATGTGTTTGAGAATGAGTTGTTTTATTACCATGAAAAACAATTTAAAAACTGGCACTAGCCTAGACGAGGACTTTTTCCCTTTTCTCCAAACTCTGTGCTTCATGACTGATATCGCAGCTGGTAAGGTACTAACTACTGACAGCTGTCCGACAGGACATCACTGCCAAAAGGACTAGATTTTTCCTTTAAGAACGAATAACTGAATCTACTTTTTTTTCACTTTATCTAAATTTGTGGTTATATTCAACAAAATTCATTAGTCTCAAATATTTTGGGACATTAGTAATTTGAGTCCTGAGAGATGTTCCTGCGGCTGTAATCCTCTCATCCACTTCTGCTTATTCAATAATAATTCTGTTCTTTCATCCTTGCGTCTGAAGTGTAATGGTTTGCACACATGCTGCCCTAAGTGGACCCCAAATAACACAGACACCGTATATATTACATTCTTTCTTACTCTGTTCCCACTCGGAGGCCTTAGTCAGCAGAAAAGCTGTAAAGGAATTTCCTGTTGCAGCCCACCGCTCCCTGCGCCTGCTGTTGCTTATGTGTGGGCTTTACATTACCGCCGACTCCCACCGATGTCATGTACAGATCATTTCACTGTGGACAGATGCTGAGGAAGGGGAGGGGGGAGACAATCAGGCTGTTGAGAGAAATGCTTCTCTCTCGAGGATCTCTGCGGCTCCTCTCGTTTCCCTTCGTATTCCGTCCTCGACCGAACTCTTCCCACTTCTCCTCAGTTTGAGGGGCRGCGAAAGATGCAAACTAATTTGAAGAAACACACAAAATAGCAATACACACGGAAGGGATTCGGATGAGGTCATTGTCTTGAGGGCTAGTATTCTTCTCGGCACCCTAAAGGGAGAAACCCTGTAACCTCTCTGCCTTTCAGTAGGCACAAAAGACTCCCTTTGAGGGAGGAGGCAGCCATGGAATGTGTTACCAGGGTTTTCTATAGTGACTGGTCTCCAAATTCAAGCCCAATTCAAGTCTATGTGTGTGTGTGGATTAGTGTGAGGCCTTTATTTATAACAGTTCATGTGTTCTCTCTGTCATATAGGAGCTGGCATGTGAATKTATAGTCTACTCTAACAAGTTTGTTCCTGTGATTAAAAAGAGAAAAACCTGCAAGTAAGCAAAGTGTGGATGCATCACTGAGCTTCGTGGGGGGAATTAAAAAAAAAAAAACTTCTAAAGGACTATTGAGAGGCCTCAGGATTTTTCCATGACAAACCGTCGCCTTTCCCAACGTGGAGCAGTGGGAACTGGCTACTTTGTTTGTATGAAGTGCTGTCTGGGAAGAATGTGAAGTTTAAGTCCGGGAGGGTGCGACGTGGGGGCTAATGGTGGTGGTGGGGAGCTGAGGGTGTTGTGGGGGAGGAGGGGGTGCGCACGATAACTCCCACTCCATTCAGATTTATGGTGAAGACAGAGGGGCTCCTCTGGATGGACGTCAGGGGACTAGCAGAGCGCCGCCCCTGTTGCAGGGCATGCCAAAGCAAACGCTGAATCGACCAACCCCTGGCTATTCTTCTCATCCGTCTCTGTCTTTCTCCTCTGCACGTTTTCTGTTCCATCATATGGGAAAGTTTTCTGTAAGGCTTTTAACGCATACGGTGTGCCCATATTTCACCGGTGTCACAGGGGTTATAGTGTGGGCTGCGGGCGACCCCCGGTTGAAAAATTTATTACAAGACAGAGTCAACAGAGTTTTGTGTAATTTCCATAATGAAATATGTGAGACAACGGCCTTTTCAATAGATTTTTTTTGAAGCTCAATGTGAAGTTAAAGCCAGTTACTTGAGACTTATTTGAGAAATTCTTTTCATGTTTTGAGATTATCTGTTGCTTTCAGGCAGTCGTATTCTTGGCAACGAGTTCTAACTTTGTGGTCAAGTGATCAGCTTAAGGTCTCACTAAAGAAATTGTTTGGCATCGTCAAGAACATCTTTTTCTTGTTGGCCTGTTTTCTTGTCCGTCATATTGTTTTAATATCACTCACAGACGAAAACGTAAGGACAGTATTGTTTTTACTATGTCTTTACGACAGTGGCGGATCTAGAATTTTTCTAAGTAAGGGGCCACATTACTCATAACATAATATAATAATAATAATTAATAATAATTATTATTCTATACTATAATTCAACATCCATGCACATAAATCCTCCGTTTTTGTAAGGTGTATGAATTTAACCGGTCATAGTATGTTCCAACACTTGTAACATAATGTGATGTTATCATCCATCCATCCATTTTCTTCCACCTATCCGGGGTCGGGTCGTGGGGGCAGCAGCTTCAGAAGGGAGGCCCAGACCTCCCTCTCCCCAGCCACTTCTTCCAGCTCCTCCGGGGGAACTCCAAGGTGTTCCCAGGCCAGCCGAGAGACATAGTCCCTCCAGCGTGTCCTGGATCTTCCTCGGGGCCTCCTCCCGGTGGGACGTGCCCGGAACACCTCACTAGGGAGGCGTCCAGGAGGCATCCTTACCAGATGCCCGAGCCACCTCAACTAGCTCCTCTCGACGTGGAGGAGCAGCGGCTCTACTCTGAGTCCCTCCCGGATGACCGAGCTTCTCACCCTGTCTCTAAGGGAGAGCCCAGCCACCCTGCGGAGGAAACCCATTTCGGCCGCTTGTATCCGGGACCTCGTTCTTTCGGTCATGACCCAAAGCTCATGACCATAGATGAGGGTAGGGACGTAAATCGACCGGTAAATCGAGAGCTTCGCTTTCTGACTCAGCTCTCTCTTCACCACGACGGACCGGTACAACGCCCGCTTTACAGCAGACGCTGCGCCAATCCGCCTGTTGACCTCCCGCTCCGTTCTTCCCCCATTCGTGAACAAGATCCCCAGATACTTAAACTCCTCCACTTGAGGCAAGACGACCCCCCTGACCGGGAGAAGGCACTCTACCCTTTGATGTGATGTTATTAAAAAAGCTTAAATTGTTTGCCAGTTGGAAGATATTTTCTGCGGTATAGTTCAAGTCTGTAAAAGAAGAGAAGACGACTTCTTTAAGATTGATTCTTGCTGGACTTCACTATTTGACTCATTAGTGCCTCT